TGTGTACGGTCATCAAAGTATCTCTGTACCGTACCCATACTTCGAACAGTATCATATGAACTAATCAACTAGACAAATTCTACGATCTCCGACTTAAATTCTCCCAAGTTGTTGAAGGCGAGAGTGTGTAACGCAGTACAATCTGAGCCCACGTCAATTGGGACTACTTGAAATTCGCCGAGCGTGGACAACTCTGAAGAACGCCAACGCTACGAAAAAGTCACCAAACCGATCGTGTGCGCCTCATCGCGGGAAACCTGTATTGCATCAGAGAACGCAGTCGACGAGACGAAAGTGAAAATAGGACGGTGTAGGGCGGAGCAAGCACGTCTTGCGTCGCCAACGTCGGTCACAACCAGTCCGTAGCCGTGTTGCTCATCCTGGATATCTATCACCTACTCCATCTGCACCAGTTTAACTAGCCATAACACTTCTAATTGTTTAACGCTGCTTTTCAGTTGTTGCCGTAATCATACAAAAACAAGATGGGGCTCGAAAAGCAGCAACGGGTTATGCTCGTGCTATGCCTCATATTCGGACTATGGCATTTGGGTACACAATGGACGACAACGTTGTTGTCCTTTCTTCAATGGGATACCACTGAAGTAATGACCATAGTCGATTTGGGCTATATTCAAGCTTTTGGAAGTGTATGTAATGCAGTTGGTGCTTTTGGCTTCGGACAGAGTGAACATACATGCATGCGTAATATTTCTCTTTTCTACATTTCCCTATACCAGGAGCCATTTTCCTGTTTACTTTATGTTGACATTCACTATGTTGACATTTCGTTACAGATGGCCGACACTGCCGGACCGAAAGCAATGTTTATGTTATCGGTTATTTTTACAGCCATCTATTATTCTGGCATTTCTCTTGCAAAATCCTGGTATGGGTTCTTTTTCCTGCAGGTTCGTTTCATTTTCCATTTGGCACCTCTCCAAGAGAAATTAAATCGGCTGTTTAAGATTTTACGCTTTGGATATCAATTGGATAGCACTAGCAGAAATGTATTGGCTACTGTATCCACGGAAAAGAAGAACGACTGAGCTCTGATGAATTGAGACCTCATTGGGTATACACCCGCTCCTAATTCGAACGGCTGCGAAATTTCCCCGGCATTAATTCTACGGCCCAATTGCAACGGAGACCGTGGTGATTTCGTCCATTTTTATTTCCACCTTAACTTTACGCTCACCGGAGACATAAATCTCGTTGCAATGCTCGATTGACAAAAATGTGATCGAGTGGTCATCCCTGGCGCAGAACTGGACGCCATGAATGTTCACGAGCGCGTCCTCGCGACGGCCGACTTGCTAGCCCTCCCTAGCCAGTCTTTGTGGCCGATTCCACTGTGGTTGCGAGAATCGATGCCAGATCTTGTATTTGGCGCCTTTGTGTTGGTATAAGAGAACAGGATTCGGATCTTGCTTACGTAATTCGACCAATTTTGGCCGTCCATTGGGGTTAAAAACAGACCGCTGGGGCAAAAAAGGGTTACACCGTATTTGCTAGGAGATTTCCGGGAAAACAGACGATGTTACAATTGGTTCCGAAACATTGAACTATCAAAGTAAGATATTCCGTTATTGATGGGAAAGTACAGGTTTACTTGAGAAATACGTAGCTCGGTTTCCGTTCTTCCTACTGCAGCAACAATAACACAGGAGCTGAAATCGCGCTACCGGAAGCACTTTACTTGAGTTAAGTCAACAAAACAAAATCAATGTACTTTTTTCAGGCAGCCGCCATGTTTATTGGCCCAATCATCGGTTCAAAAATCGCTGCCTACACGTCACTGCGAACTTCACAATTCATCTGTGGTGGTGCCTTACTGTTCACATTAATGCCGGTGTTGATGTTCATGCTGCCAACCACTCATTCCATTCCACGATTGGCCACTGCACGTCTTCGGCCACAAGATTACTGGCCCATGATCACGAAGAACACGGCACTTAAGGAGGGCCTCATTCTTCGCGCTCTTGTTATCTCGTCCTACGTGTGCTATGAGATGATCTCAAGGAATTTCCTTCTGCGATCTTTCATGAAGGACACCAATGACTCAGCCATTGTGCTACTCGTTATGGCAATCTCACTGCTTGGAGTGCAGTTCGTTGTTCTGCCTATTATACAACGGAGAGCGAGTCCACGAACTCTCCTGCAGATCGCCATGACCGCATTAATCTTGTGTTATTTCATCGTCTCCTTCACGACTTCATTCGAGCAGGTTCTCATCATTACTGCCATTCAAACCGGTGCATATGCTGTCGCCTATGCTGAGTCAAGTACCCAGATAACAAGGTTTGTGGTTTTCTCACACCTTTTTTCATTTTGTTACTTCATTTTTTGTTGACTTTCAAAATGAGTGATATTTCTAGTCCGCTTACAGCCTATAGAGACTACAAAAAATCCCTCATAAGAATAATAGGAATTATGCAATGATAATGATAATGATGATGATGATCGTAGTAGTCATGAAAAGCTTGATGATGATCGTAGTACTCATGAAAAGCTCGTTCCGGGAAAGTTGACATGTGACCACCCAAAGCCCAGGATTTGATCAGGGTCCGATCGCCCATCCCAACCAGGCCTGTCATTCTCTCTGGGGGGGCCTACCACTCCTCCCTACTGCTTCATTGACATAGAAGCCACTAGCGAGGGTGGAAACATCGAGCTTCACCGTGACCAGCCACCACAGGCACAATATCTGCAGGGAGGGGAGGCCAAGAAAAAAGGTTTATTTTACCTACGGCGCACATAAGCAAACATTTTGTCGCAAGAGCGCCGCAGCGTAATAACTTCGTATAGCATACATTATACTGATTACTGAAGTTCTTCTTGAGTAGAATCAAACAGTTGCACAGGAAGTCTCAAAAATATGGAGTCATTCGCCCCTAGAGCCTTGAGCTCGAGCCTTTCGCCATGCTTCCGTAGAGGATTCTTCTCTTGCCCAGCTAAAGTATAGGGACCAACTACATCACCTCCATTTTGAGATATGGCATGAGAAAAAATTCTTGCGTAGATTTCAAAAATTTTAGCGATGATAACACAAACGCATCATGTGTAGACACACCAATCGCGACTAGGGCATATTTTTAACAAAGGGTGGTACCTTATCCAATAGGTGCTTGAAAGCGATTATCTGATTAAGGCCGTTCATTTCGAATGGACAAAACCAGTTAAAATGATGATAATGAAAAGTGGACTATCCAGAATGCCTGGTTCAGCTTTAACAATGCAAAAAAGTCTCAAAAACTACCTGTTTGCGTAATTATTGCGTGCAGATAGGTGCTCCCAACCTTCGGAGGGTTTCCTGCGCGAGAGCGCGCCTCACCCCAGAAAAAAAAAATAAAAAAAGCTGCCTGGTCACAAGAGCCACTCAGGGATGAAAGACAACACCATTCGACGTTAGTCGAACACCTTGCAAGCTGCGCCGAGCATTCTACTCATCCGAAATCATATTTACTGCAACCCGAATGCGATCCGGGTAGCACATTTAGGGGGAGCACAGCTGATGTAAAAGTAAGCTCTTATTTGATCAGACGTCTGGTGCCAATCAGCCAACCATGGACGGTGAAGGGCTAAATATCTCGGGTAGGAATCGAATCCCGGAACCAAGGACCGTAGATAAGCTACTTTGGCTCTACACTGTCTCCCTTATGACTTCTACACCAGCATAATTGACTATTTTAAGCAGAATCTTAGCAAACACGGATCAGTTTACGTTGCCAGGATTTAATGTTACCGAAATAATTCTTATTTTCAATTTCGAGCATTTAGCTGCCTCTAAATTAGCGAATTTGATTAACTTTAAAATTTACTTTGTAGACCATGCCCTTCCAAAACCATCCTATAATTTTGTAAAGCTTGAGCTGCATTTCGAAAGTTGTAAGGAAAGCTAGGAACACCCTCAACAAATTGAATTTTATTTTTTGATTCTTTAGTTATTCGAAAATCCTTAAAATCAAATGGTTATTTAGTTGTCAGCATCTATCAACTAATATTTAAAGGATTTTTGAATAATGGAGGACGAAAAAACGAATCTTAAAATTGAAGTGTGGTGTATTTCAAAACTTTTTTGAACCTAATATTAAAGGGAAAATTTTTGTACTATTTAATGGACGATTATTACATGCGAGAGAACTCAAGTCTGCAGAATTGATCATTTCTCCGTATTTCTATAGCCATTGCGGACCGAACGCGGGTATCATTTATTCCAAAAACTTGTGTCCTTGGGAATGGTGCGCTTAGTCTCGGATCGTGCGATACCAGGAGAGAATTCAGCGAAACCGGGTGCGTTGTTCCGGCTACGACCAATGCTAGTTTGGCTTCGATGCGGTTACTAAAACCTCACGATAAGTACCTACAACACGCAGCAAGTCGAGCTACCATTCACTGTGCTGGTAAGAGCGCCCGTGGTTGCGCTGAATAACAATTTTGCCTAGCTATGTGTAAACCTACATTCTAAGAAGTTGTGATATCACCATACCTTCTAATTACTCCTAGTTATTAAAAAGAATTACCAACGTTAGAGAACAGTACAAGTTCTAGCTGAAAAATAGTCTTATAACCTAGCTTGCACGTAATTTATAGCCAAGTCCATAGATTTCATAATCGTTTATGTGTTTTTGCTCAACCCCTTTCTTCGCTAAGGGACTGTACCGAACTGCAAAGAGTTACTATCAATCAGTCCCCCTAAACCGCACGAAAGGTGCGCCATTGAACTGGTCTGTCAAACCGGTCACTCAAAGGAGAGTAGTCGTCGTTGAAACAATTACTCTTCAAAGTTTACTTTATGACAGCAAAATCTTACAAGGAGAGGGGCGCATCTTTCACGACATACTAAATGCTTTTTTCGAAATCGTTTCCTGCATTCTGTAGAGGCTCTTACGAGGCAACGAAAGCTTTTCTATATTTCCTGAACGCTTGCAGGAATGTCAAAACAGTGGCGTAGGAATCATCCAAAGTTCGATCTTCTATGGTGTCGAATTTTTGCAATTTCTGTTTGTGTCTCCGAATCGCTCGTAAACCACGTAAATGGCATCTATTTTTGCGGCGTCTGGCTTCTTCAACTACTTGGGCACTTGCATAGAAGCAGTATACGAAAAATAGGCCCAATGTACTCAAGGTTCACCGTGCGTCTCTACACATGCATAAAAACATTTGAAAATGCGCTCCATGTCCTAAAAGACTTTCCTTCCTAGTTATTTTGACCTCAAATCGTAAGCGACGCTGTAAATCGTGAGGCGTTGTAGTGACGGGCCCTCGCACCACTTCAAGCTGAGCATCTGTTCAGATCAAACAAATCTTTCCCACTTCCTAATTGCTATTTGTAATGTATTGGAGCTCGAAGCACTGACTTGAACATTGTCTGGCCAAACGGCACAGCATATAAAACGGACTCCGTTTGAAACTCTCTCACAAACTTCCATGTAAGTCGTATGCGTGAAGCGATCAACAATGTTCAGCCATCGCCAGCCACCTTTCCTGCCCGAATAAAAGTGGGCGGTGATATAAGGGAGAATATGTAACGAATTCATCTGATCGGAAACCAAAAGGCTTCCTTCCATTATCCATGCCTACGGTAATCTCACTTTTACAACCTACGTACTGGTCCTTTGTACAAACCACCCTTTTCCAAATTTCTTCCTAGATCTCAAAATTTTCATACTCGCAGTCCACACAGACTACTGCTTTCCTTGACGAGCGAATCGTCTTCCTATGATTTCCAAATAGAAAATGAAGGCAAAAAGCTGTTGCGAAAACGAAGAATAGGAAATAATATATCATTACAAACTTTATATTTTTGTCCATAGCGTGACCAGGAACCCAGTGACGTCCGAATCTGTCCAGAACATTATTTGGTAAATCAATACAGCAAACATGTTCCCGTGTGTCCAAAATGTCATCGCATGAATCATTCCCGAACACCACTGAGGGAATCCTGTGATGGTTATAGCTCACACCTGATGACCAACTAAGCTTGTATTTTCGGTGCGGGACAAAGGCCCGTTCCTCTTTGGCTGCTTATTGATCTTACAAGGATCAGGTCGCGATTAGATCCTCATTGAAATTCGCTCCCTAACTGAGCTATTGGAATCCCTTATCACAGGGTTGGTAGTACTACCGCAACCTGGAAATGGCGACTGGAGAGCTAATACCTTCGCTTTACCGCTGCAACCACTGTCACGCTTGTCAATAGCAGCAAATTTAGCGCCTGTGCACACTCCCGAGCGTCGCGCTCTCTCGCAATTCCCTTTCTGTCCACGCTGTTCTCTCCGTGGTACCGTGGACAAAAAGGAACTTTAGTGCTTTTAGTATATGACGCGTTTTGCGTTCTCTCCACACTAACGCTCCCCTTTTTGTCTAATTTTATAACATAATAACGCATCAATTCGATGATGACCTGTGCCTTTAAGTACCGCCCAGAGTAGCGTCGCTTCCTAGAGTGCAAGATCAAGTGAAAGTCGATGAGAGATAATAAAAGTTTTTTTGTGAAGAAACATTCAAAAATCATATAAAAGACTTGAACTCATTTAGAAAGAAAAAGCCATATTAAATTGATATTTCAGTGCTGTTGAGATCACGGACCTCGGTAAAGCTACGGGACTCGCTTCAACGACCCAATGGATCGCTCACTTTATACTGCCCATCTACGCTTCACATCTTGTCGATCACTACCATTATACCTATGCCTTTTACACGTCCACTCTCCTGTCTACGGTTGCCTTAGTGTACGTGACATTATTCGCGAAAAACACAAACAACAGGATGGCAACGGTATTGCCAAGTCTCACAGTAACTTATTAAATTAAGCTTTTATAATAAATATTGGAATTATGAATGAAATCACTTCCTTACTTATGCGATAATGTTCTGATCTCAATCGTAAGAATTTTTCAGGAAATAAACTCGGACTCGGTCGAGTACTAATTTTGGAGCACAGAGAGGTAGAGGTTTTCCGGAAAACAAATCTTTAGCATAACTCATTTGCATCACTTCCATTTGAACTCCATTTCACTACATTTGGAAACTCTTGGATCTAGATTACGGTAGCCTATAGGGCCGAGTTACAGGTAAGAAAACCCCTCTCCACTTCTCTGAACAACTTCTTGAACTAGTGATTCGAAAATGAGGGGAATTCCACTGCGAATTTCACAGCAACTTCCACCCTCATCATCCCTGGCGATCCTCCAGATCACTCATTTTGCAACCACGCACAATTCAAAACCTCGGCTTTGCACTTAGAAGTGGAACGAAAAATCAATATCGCCCACTTCGGTCACTGATTCTAAACGAGATCCGCTCCCATCGTACAACAGCTACATTGTGCGCGGCTGCCGCTAGAAAAGCCGGTTTCCGAATGGGGAACATTAGATCGCACTACGACACCCATTCCCTTCCCATGCAGCGTTTAAGCGCCCCTCTTGAACATGGCTGCTATACCTATCATGGATAAATAGGGTCTTCGAACTTCTCGGCCTTCCGAAAAGCTTTAGTGTGCCGTCCCCGTCCGAGCTCCCTCGCCTAGATAACGGCTCCTGATTATAGTGATTTCGCACGCTGAAATTTTTGCAACGGAAAAGGGACTCATCCACCATCACCTGTACTGCCTTACTGCCTTCATTCCCTTTGGCTCACTTGCCTGGACCATTGGAAGCCGCGGGACACCCTCGGATTGACTGCGCTCTGACCTTTTTTGACAGAGAACGTGGAGGAAACTTCAAAAAACCACAACCGCACACATAGGAACAATGTTAAACACATTTCTTTGCAGCGATCCCCAGAGACTTCTGAAGTTGCCATTACTCTAACCAATATTGGACGCTTGCTTTAGTATTTATCTTACCCAACTTAACTTGACTTGAACTTGAACTTGACTTATGATGGCCCGGTCGAGATCATTCGACGTGAGCACTCATTAACCGTGTCCACGATGACCGACAGACTTCCCATGGAATAGGACCCGATCCATTGAAGTGAACGTGCGGCTCTTCACCATGAGAATAACTACGAAAGTCAACCTTTACCTCAATTCTTAACAAAATCCCACCACCACGTTAACTTTTACTACCATACATCCATAGAAGAAAAGTATGCACTCGTATGACTGCATGGTTTAGCTTGAAGTTCATTACAACCTAATAAGGTAAGCGATGACTTTCAGCTTGGAATAAGCTTACGCTTAATCCTCACATCAAAAACCTGGTTCCTATTCAACATTAACTCTCTCGCAGTGTTAGTGTATGGGAAAAACAGGTTTTCAGGCTGGGTGCTAGACCAAGGAGTTTTATCCAAACCAGTCAGCGATTCCGAGAGGCTTTTCAAGAGACATTGATCGGCCAAAGGATGGAACTCCGCCTAAGTTTGCGGTAAAGTTGTCTTCAGTGGGACAACATGAACAAAGAGGGTGCAGGCATGTTACAAGACTAGGTCGAACATTTCTTGCTCTCAAAATTCCATACTCGCCTCCGTGTATCGAGCGCATTGTACCGAATATTACTCATCCTGAGTCGACTGTTATTTTCAACTTCGATCGACTACGATGACCTTTGCAAAACGGAGCGGCAGGCGAGAGAGAACGCAGCAGTAAGGTGTCTCATTTACTACAAGTAGTTGCAAAATTTGGCGTGAGAATATTCTTAGACTAAATATAGCCGGGCCGATAAAAAAAAAAGATATTTTGCCTCCACATTTCAACGGGATCTAGCTACATTTCGCTGAAGTCAAATTGAATGCTACCAACTTGAAACTGAAGAGCAAGTTCCATCTCACAAGGAAAACTACTTACAATTAGTGGCCTTTTACGTGGGCCAGCATCAGAAAACGCCCCGGAAACATTGTGCATATGGACCAAGCTCAACCGGGTCCTCGACTGATCGTGTGCAATCATGTCGTTTTCCTAAAAGCTGGTCAGGAAGGGAGTTTGCATAGTCAGAGCCAAAGTCTCTTGGGAACCATCCTCATAAATGAAAATCGACCTGAAGAAATTTTGTAACGAGCTTTCTGTGGGAAATAAGCAAACCAGGCCTTCTGGTGTTTCTGCTGAGGTCTTATACTGAGTGTTGGGGAGGGGTGGGGTCCCTGACGGTCCGACGGACTACTTCAAACTCGGTCCTCAAAACCGCCTCCAATTCGATACTTACCTCAGGACTTCAGCCTTAAGAGAGAGACGGACCTGCGAGAAGAGCGCAGTCCTGTCTTCTCTTCCAAAGGCTTAGTCCTGGGATAAGCAATCCAGCCCTTTTGCGGAGCAGCTGAACCAGCTGCACCATTTCCGCGTCATTACTCTCCTACCGTACCGACCGAGTCGAAGTAGTCAGTCGACCGTCGGGGACCCCATCTCTTTCTCAACATTCAGCATGCGGCCTAAGCAAAACGCCAAAAGAGGGCTGGTCTGCTTACCTCATATCAGGCTGGAGTAATTACGGTCGGTCTCCTTGGCCTCGACGACGATGGCAGATAACGTTATCTTCTGAAGATGGTGAGGGCAGTTAGGAGGGCTTTTTTTTTTGCCCCGGTTCCCCCCACCCACTACTTATAGAGGGACATTTGAGAAATAATGTGCCGAAAGATTTTTTTCCGTCAACAACGGCAACATTTGTGACGAAAAAATTGCTGAAGTGCGACATGAGCTAAATGTTTTTTTTTGCCCACCTAACATTTAATCGCGACCTCCGTAATTATTATGGTAAAAAAATAGATAAAAGGACAACTTGAGAATATACGAACAGTTAACAACTCATTCCTCCAATGACGCAAATAATACTTACTGCTATACTCGGGTAACGACTAGCAACGCGCGAAAACGGTGCGATGCATCCCAATGAAATTATAGGTCGAGCGATCGCTAGCGAATCGCTGGATGCGAGCGTTGCACCAGCGATTCGATCGTTACACCAGCGAATCGACCGATGCACCAGCGAGTCGACGATGTTCTCAGCGACTCATAATAATGACGGGACCCAACGTTCAAAGAAAGCCATTCGAATAGTCCTGTCACGTGACAGTGGACCCTTTTTGAAAGTGGCGGGACTTGACAGTGGACACTGTTTGAAAGTGGCGGGCTTCCTTGAACGTTGGGTGTCCGCCACTATTGAGTCGCTGGTACCTAGTTCGACTCGCTGGTGCAATCGTTCGATTCGCTGGCGCAACGCTCGGATCCAGCGATTCGCTAGCGAATCACTCGATTCGCAAACGTATGACATCTAAGACCGCTTATCCACTTCTTCTCAACAATACGAGGGTAATCCACATGGATTTTCACCGAAAAAAAAATATAAATTCACTCAACAATTAAAAATATATTGAAGTTGAAAGGGATACTCACTGAGTTTTCTGTCATCGGAAAAAAATTGAAGCTCTTGCCCCCCGTTTTGTGTGCAACTACATGAGCACAGAATACGCAGGAGTTCAGGTGATGTCGCTGTTAAAAAAAATCACAGGCAACCAGTTTCATCCAATTCGGTACCAAATTCCACCACTGGACCATCTTCATATCTCAAAACCAACGATGGTCATTTCCAGGTTTTGCTGGTACCAAGAAACACCAGCAGCTCCATGAAGATACCCCAACACATTTACGACAGCGCGGTACACTTCAGCCCCAAACTCGGAGTAGCCTTCCTTTGCTTGATTTATACCCCCCCCCCTTTTTCATTTTTCAAAACTGTTCAAAGTCCATTTTCGGTAAGCAGAAGATAAGCACATCACATACACTCGACAAGTGAAACTAGGTAATTAGCTGATGACAAAGTTATAAAAAAAGATATAGGTAGTTAGGTGCGCACACAACGGTGGTCGTCAATGTTAAGTTTTTCAAAGAAAAACTTCGGTCAAGATTACTACGTTGGAGGCTCGAACGATATTCTCATTTTGATTCTCAAGCTACTACCTATTATTACGCAGGAAGGATATTGAGTACTGCATATCTAAATTTCCAAAAGAAAAAGTACAACATCATCAGCGAAACCAGTTTTCTGGCACGTTAGATCGAAGAGTCGCTCAATGTGAACGTGCAGTTTGACACAACACTACAAAGTGTGAGGCGGCTCAAATAGTAGGAACTCGAACTTCGAACACTGAGCACACAAATTCAACACTCTCGGGAGTCGAACACGAGCGAAATTCCTCGAGTTCATTGGAAACGAAGACAGAATAAACACAAGAAAGCAAAACAGGAAACACAGAGAAAAACTGCAAGATTTTTTCGAGGAGCACTGCTCCCATGCTTCTTGCAGTTCTAGTTCTTTTCTTATTGTTCATGTTGTCCCGTGTTACTAGAAAGCATCTACTCGCGTCCATGACAACTTCACTGAAGCAGTTGAATATTCTACATTTCAAGCGCGGCCAATTGGAAAAAGAAACCTAACTCTAACGATATGTAATATAGTATTACCAATTCTTTCATAAGAAATGGATCAGCCCAGTCTCTAAAGAGTTCCGTAAGCAACATCAGTGATGCTTTCACCAAATATAGCCTTCCGCTAAATTATTCATGCAAACATGTGGGCTTATAGTAGATAAGTGCCATCGCTTGTTTTTAGCAACTATCAATAAATAACGTTGCGTTTTTAGATTGTCTTTTCATGCTGAAGTTTTCTCATGATCACTTCACCTCGCTCCCAAAAGTTGCGGCCACGCTGTGCACCAGCTATCCGTTAGACAAAGTCTCACGAGATGTGGGAGAGGTGGGGAGGGAAGGGGTCGTATTTGTGATAAATATTTGGGATTAAGGAGACTGTACTTGGTTAGAGCGGCGATTCAGCTTCTGTAAATATTCGTAAAAATGTCGTGCTAAGAATCTGAGG